TAAAAGCTGCCTCCCTTCCTCATCTGCTCCAGGAACAAGGTTGTTGCAGATGATACTGAGCACACACAGGCTGTGAAAAGCTTAGAGCTGTTACATCTACCCTTCTTTTTTCAAGACTGGTTTCTATAGCAAGGGCCCTTTGAGCACAGGCATTTTTGACAAGCCAACTAATCCTGTAAGTACTAGGCACACCCACAGCAGCACAGAATAACAAACACCAAATATTCACTGGGGAGAAAACAATCTCTGTTTTGCAAAAAGAGTGAAAAGAGCAGTACTTTTGCAGCTAAAAATATGTATCTGATAAGATTTGTTAAAGGTCACCCAAGAACTGCCTCAACAACCCACCAAACAGCCTGGGAGGGGTCAGTATTTTGCCAAGGCAGGATGCTCAACCCCAGCTGTTTATTTAACTCCACAGAGACCAAGTTATGACCCACTTCTGCTCTCTAAGCAAAAAGAAAGCATCAGCTTTCACGGCCGTTATTGAGCTTTCCAGGGGAAGAGATTTATTGATTTCAGAATATGAAGGAAGTAACAGATAAAAGAAGGATAATTGACTTCAGATTTTCATAAACCTTTTGTTAAATTACTGTCACAAGCAGCTGTTAAAGAATGAGTAGGGCCAATGTTAGAAACTGCCCACATCAGACATGCACTAAATAGCTTTTGCCTGCAAGAGGCCAAGGTGAGGATTTGAGCTTCTTCATGGGAGAAGCATCAGTGTGTCCCCTCATCTGGAGGAAAAGGGAGCAGAGGGGGATGCACAGGACAGAAAATGCCTGAAAACTAGAGGGCAAATGTCATCAGTTTTGAAGGAATCCAGTGCATAGATGATGGGGTTGCATCAAGGCAGAATTTAAACATGACTGCAGAGATGGGGAAAGACACAACATGGTGGACTTGGGATATTTGCTCTTGTAATTACTGAAGCCAAGGCTTCAGAAAGCCTAACAACATCAGTAAGAAACCTGGACATCTTCCACCTGAAAGACCACCATTCACACGAACCCCTCAGAAAGCATCAGGATATAGAAGCAGGTCGGAGTGAGATGACACATTGCCCCCAGGGCTTTGGCATTTCCCCCTCAAGAATCTACATCCAGTCACAGTCTGGTTACTCGATTCCAGGCTCTTGCTTTAACAGGAGCCTTAACACTCACTTGGGTGACTGTAATCACCTTTTGAAACTATAAGGGCGAAGAATATATCTTTTGTTAAAGGAGACTCAGTCCCCTTCACACAGAGCTATTCCAAGAAGATGAAGTGATGTTCAGCATGCCAATAAAATTAGGGAAGTGTAGCATGCTTCTAGAACAGCAACTGAAAGGCAGCAATAAAAAATCCTAATACATGGGAGCTTCTCTGTTGCTGCTCGAGTAATCAAGATCTATAAAACCTTACGCTTCTTCAATTACACTGCATAAATGATTTGTATTCTTTCTATTCAGATCGAACTGGCTGATCCAGATGGTGTTTTAGAAGAAGCCCAGGCAATGTTTGACGACAGCCAAGATGAAGAACCGGATGCTGAAGGAAAAGAAGAAGATGCATAATAAGAACACAATTAGGAGTGAGTTGCTCAAACAAGCCTCAGATCCACAGTGTGATGTATTGTGTCTTCGTTTCCCCTACTTTTCCCTCAAGGCTGCTCATGTAGAGTCATAGAATGGGTTAGGTTGGAAAGGACCTTAAGATCATCTGCTTCCAATCTGACATGGGCTTAGCTCAGAAGCCTCCCACTCCCCCTTATTTTGGAAAGGAAAAGGTAACTCTTTTCCCATCACCTCTGTAAAGAAATCACACTCCTGTTGGGACCAAGGTCTTTCACATTAACCTCTAAGCAGCAAGGTCTCTGTTATACGCTATAAAAGAAAAGCTCTACAAAAGTACAGGCAAGTAATTCTCCCCTCCTGCTCCCCCCAAACTTGTCCTGATATATACCTCTGACCCAAAGTTGTAACGAACCATGTTTTCATTAATATAATTTTATTAATATCATTTTACGTGCTCTCTCTCTGCATTTTCCATAACATTCCCCTTGGTTTCCTCCCTAACCTACAAGCGCTGGATCTCACCCTAGCTCTGCATCTTGGCCAGCCATGTGCTGGACTCAGAGCACTCACCAGCATCGCGCTGGCTGCTCCAGTTCTACCCAATGCAAGGACCAAGTCACGTAATGCTGCACCACTTCTAAGCATCACCCACAAGACCAAAGGAAGGTGGCACTGCAGCTGGATGGCGAAAGCTGGCCGGCGAGAGCAAGTGGGTCATTAGTTCAACCTAATTAATGCCTGCTTCTGAGCATCACCTCTTGCTTACAGTTCATTTGGTCCCTTGACTCTTCACCTTTTCCAGGCTGAAAGATAACCTACTTGTCTCTTTAAGCACTCAGAGAGTAACAATACAATATGCTTAGTCCCAAGATTTAAGCAGTGCTGACAGGAGGAAGAGCATTTCAAAATGGCTCTGTGAACAGGAAATTTTATCTTCATGTTACGATTGAAATGAGTAAGGCATCCTCAGAAATACACGGGATTAGCACAATACAGCTGAAGAGATAAGGGATATAGAGAAAACAAGTATATTTTAGGCCTCTTGATAACAAATAATCAGCAACAATAGAGTACATTTTATTTCACTGAAGTATTTTATATCTAAATAAGAGATATACAATAACCAATGTTTAAAAGGCTTGAGGTAAATGCATAACACCATTAGTATAAATAAGGGATTAAAAAATTCTAAGTGCACTCAGTGTTTAGGTCCATCTGTCCAGGTCTGTTTACTGCCTCTGGCACCCAGTTACAAGACTGTGCCCAAGGTGTAACTTTCACGACCATTTCCACAGGTGGAAAACGAGACGCATACTCAATATCATGGCTTAAAGTGCAGAAAACAGTCAGAAAAGCAGCTGTAGTAACAGCACCATTAGCTCAGAACCTACCAGCTTGAGAAAGTTAAAAAGGTTGTCTCACTAGCTTCTAAGTCTGCAATCCTTATACAAACAAAAACTCCACACACTTCTCTGTCATTGGTAAAAGATCCACAAAATAAAGAGAAATTCAGTTACTTATCCACGAGAGCAAGTAATTTTACAAAATAAACTTAGAAAATACATTTTCTGGACTTTCATTCAAAATCACATGGCAACTTTTACATACTCAGTTTATGGACAGAAGAGTAATCGTTAAGCCTGACAGCACCCCTGGCTCTAATGTGCAAGGTTTTCTTCCTTTACTGAGTACTTTTAAGAGTCTTTTTCCCCTAAAGATGAGTATTCCTGTAATGGGAATATGTATTTTGTGCCTGCTACCAAGATTTCACATTTTGGAATGCTGCTTCATGAATGCCTTCACTAACATAATCCTTCCAGTGCTCCATAAATAAGCAGCTGTGGGACTGCAGTCACAATTCTCAACATCAGATTTACATCAGGAACAGAATGTATCTGAAGCACAATGTAATGACAGAACTAGGGAAAATCCAGTTTAGCCTGTGTATGCCAAAAGGACTTGTCAAGATAGGAAGTGGAAAGCTCTTTTCTGCCTATGAACCAAGAATGTTGCTGGGGAAAAAAGCCCAGCAGCTTGTGTTTTATAGCTATTTTTCAGAATGCAAACACCACAGGTAGCCTTGTCAACACGTTTCACTGTGGTGGTGCTGACATGAAGAATCAGTCCCATGTGCTTCATGAGGCTGCTTCAGTACTCAACGCATTCTGCCACACTAACTGTAGTAAACACATCCTACAGTTTGTAAATGCATTGAGATAACCTGAGGCAAGGCTGTGGGTACGTGAGGCCTCGTTCAGCCCAGTCACAGTCAGGTACAGCCCCACTGTATTGTCACATTCACTCCTGTCCAATTTCAAAATCCCAGGTGTTTATTCCACAGTGTTAGCTACGAAGGGGAGGTCAAGTTTTGTTCCATTTGACTTGAAATCTGCCTCAGTTTGTGTTCAAAAGAACTGCATTCCAAAAATTCCACCTCTAGACATAGCTGGAATTCCTGAAGCAGCCCAGGACAAGTGCTGCAACCCTTCATGAACAAACCTCTTATCTGAGAGACCAAAAGGAAGTTTCTGCTTAAAGAAGAAACAAGAAGCGACACTAGACTCACTGCCAGACTGTGTCTGAAAGCAAACAGCAGTATTAATTACAAATAACCTACTCCCATAAATAAATACACATAGAGAAAAGGAGTCTTCCAGATCCTTTGGAAGCCAAAACTGTGTAACAAGTTATTAAATACAACACTTCAGCAAGGAGAAGGCTTCTTCTAAACAAGGAAGACCAAGGCATAGCGAATTACTTGGGAATTCAATGCAGAGAAAGCACCGTTTGCTGCTTGTATCTGAGGATTTATTAAAAATACATTTTTAACATAAAAGTATAAAATAATCACTACTTTGGCTTGGAAAAAACACAGCAGTGGTTTTGATTTTCAAGCAATAAAAATTATCCAGTGATAATTTCCATTTAGTTCCTTCTTGTTAAAAAGAGATTCCTAAATGGGAAACAGGCAAATTATCTCTTCAGATAATATGTGCCAGCTTGTGAGAACTTTAAAAACAGTTATTGCTTTTATTTTCTTCCAAGGAAGAGTAGAGTCGAGTCTCATTCCTACTCATGTGGCCATACCACATCACAGTAAGACTAGTCATGGGTGTTTAGCAGGTTATACAATGTGAAAAGGCGCTGGAGAAATCAGTAGAGTAACAATTACTTGGCAGCAAAACCTAGTGGGGAAGGTGGTGAAAAGCTTTCACTTCTCCCATCTGTCAGGCCTTCTAGAGAGAACAGCACTAGCACTGAAACCAAGTGCTAATTGCTGCATATCCCAAGTAATTTGTTATCATGCCATGCAATATGGATGGGACAAGCAGTATCTTCTAAATGCCAACATCAAATAAAGAGAGGAGGGAAAAAAGGAAGCTTCTCTATCCATCCCTAACAAACATCCTCATTTACGATGTTATTTTCCATGTGTTTATACAGCCTCCATCCAGCATTAACAAGAAACAAGTTTTCACAAGAGGAGGGGTGCACACACAGTGTGAGCACACACTACCAACCATACCTTCAAACAGCTAAAGTTTTATGAAAGAAACATTTCTTCCTCCTCTCTCAAGGGTCAGAACAACATTTATAATCTCTCTTTAAATGGTAATCAACAGCTTGACCAGGTCATCTGCAGGGGAGCCAACAGAACAAGGCAGAAGCAGAAGAGTGGGTTTATTTTAAGTACAGGTTTACGCAAAATGGGTAACTGCTGAGGAGATGGTGTCACCTCTGTGATCCAGCTGATCCTGGAGCCGTGCAAATTCAGCAAGTTCATTCAGTTCTTGAAATTGCCTGTCTGTTTTATGGCTCACCAGTGACCTGTAGAAGTGCACTGCAAACACGATGAAAATCAGTCCAAAGGGAACCATAATAGACGTTGATGCAATGGCTGCTGCCTGTCCCGATGTGATGGTAGTAGTACTGTTGCTCTGGAGTGGATTGTCAGTTTTCTTCTTTAAAGGAAGAAACTTCACCCAGCACAGTAACACCACCTCTGCAAGAAAGAGCAAAGTCCCAATGACAGTTGAAAATGCCCATGCCAGCTCGATGTGCCGATGCATACGCTCGTGAGGAGATTCCTTTACGGAGTTGAGATTATGCACGTTGCTAACAGCCTCTATGTTCGGAAGAATGCAGGTACTTATCATGAGTGCAAAAAGGTGAACTGCAACAAGAACAGTAGTACAGGCACTGAAGGCTATCAAGAGACCTTGAGGGTAGTCATGTTCTGCATCTAGCTGAACTTCTACCATAGCCACCTGAAAAGGAAAGATGAGAGATGCATTTACATATAGTTTCACTACAGAGTATTTAAATTTAAAAGTTCCAGAGGAAACAAAATAACAGTCTGCATTTAAATTTCTCTTCATGTCAATCTGCACCCTTTTAATTACCTCCACATTTAGGTCTGAGCTATGAAGCACAGGCCAGTCTTTTCATACTTACTGTTCTGTTGTAGAGCAAGCCATCAATATGCATAAAAGCTATTAACAGCACAACCACTTTGCCACCTCCAGCTTACCCCGGCAAAACAGCTGAACTTTGTGATAGACATACTCAGACACTAAAGATGAAACTTCCTATCTAGAACATGAAAGCCTGCAACAGCAGCAGATTGCCTGTCACAGTCTTGGTGGTCCTTTCTCCTTGGATATTTGTTTTAAAGTTTGGAAGAGCAGGAGCCTTTCAGTAGAAAGAATACCTTTCCATGGGGCTCTCAGCTATAGTCTTTCACTCAAAATAAGTATTTAAGCAGACTCTAGAATACAGATTTGAAACTGTCTCCACAGCATCAAACAGGCCTGTCAGAGGCTGAAGGAAAGACAAAAAGTCTCCCAGAGCAGGTAATACAGACATCACTAGCTACTCACTTTGGAAGCTGCATTTAGCCTCCTCTTTAGGCAAGAAGAGCTATCTCATGAAGATGCTCCAAGGTCCAGCCCTCCACTGTTGTATGGATCCATGCCCTTTTATAAACTTAGATATCCAAACATGCCTATGCTTAAGGAGCAGAAATTAGCATTAAGTAACAGCATTAGGAAGCTCAAACTCAGCTCAAAGGTTTTTTAATAAAGAAAATAAGTTAGAATGCCTTTTAAAACTGTCAGGTGGTTTTACACACGTGCAATTGATGAGTAACATCAATCCCAGCAGCTCTCCTAAAAAATAACCTTGCCTGATAAACCTGCCTCCCAGACAAACCACAGTCCCAAATGGGGGATAATGTAACAATGTCTCTATGTTGAGTGCTCTTTCTCAAGCGATCTTATTAAATAAATAGACAAAAATATGCTTAAAATGCAGAGGCAAAAGAAAATATCTAACAGCAATCTTAAATAAACACACATACACAATGCAAGGGAGATGTGGAGGCTGCTGTTGAGCACAGTTCAGGCTGATTCACACCAGCCCTTTCTTCAACAAAGGATCAAGACCACTCTTAATCTTTCATTGAAATAATACGACTTGCTAGCCCAGCAAAAGCTAACCTGGGTTTAGAAGTGGTGATCTGCTAGCTGAGCTGCTTCTGCAGTGCCGCTGGTGAACACAAAGCTGGCACAGGCCCATGTAACTGAAGCAGCAGCAGTTGTACCAGGACCTCACTCTTAGTAGCACTAAGCAATGAACCCAGTTCTTCTGTAACATACCAGTTCACCCTCAAAAAGACCGTGAAACAAGTTCATACAACACAGTGCCTGAAATAAATCGGCTCTTTTGAGTCCCACCAATACAGGTTTAACCATTACCACATGCCATTAGCAATGGTTTAGGCAGTTCTCAGCCTGCAGCACACATTTCAAACACCTAATTCTCATCAAACTGCTATGAAGAAACTTTGATGAAGCACAGGTAATAGGGATGCAGGGAGACATGGCAACTAGGATTCAAAGACAACTGCAAACACATCCAAACCTCACTATGTTGCAAGAGCTGAATCAAGCTACACCTAGCCTGGGGTCCCACCTTCTGTTTTCAGAACCAGCATGTTCCAGGACACCAGAACTCTGCTAATGCACCAAACATCAAGCCAACTGAGGTTTTGCTCAGACATGTTCCAACGGGCATTCAGGGCCATTTGCCAATATTTTAATTCCTTTCTTGAAAGCTTTTATCGTCACAAGCCTGAGCACCCAGGCAGCTACCAGCTTCCAAGTGTTCCAAGAAGCTCACCAAGAAATTACATTAACCCAGATGCAATTATTGCTCAAAGGTTTAAAAACACCATTTCTCAGCCGTGGGAAACGTCACATTTGAGAGGACAAACACTCAGTCCTCAGGTCTCTCATCTCTAAGTCCCAGCATACTCATGGGATGTTGGGCTTCCCATGTTTTTCACAGAACTGCAACCCTTCAGCACCGAGAAGTCGTTTTCTTCATTAAAGAATGCTCTTGTATGAATGCATCTTTTCTGATGTCTAGACTCAAAACCATCAAGCATGGCAAGACATTCTAATCCTTTATCCTAATACTCATTATATTAACATATCCATGACACTAAGGAGCTTCTTAAGATGAAGACTTCCTTTTAAGAACTGATGTATTTAATTCGCCAAATACTGAAGACATTTTCTATTTCCATTAATCAATGTCTCCATGTAATAATGATATCAAGCATCTGAATTGGAACTTAGACTCTCTTAATTGCAATGTACCAGCTGTCCTGGAGCTACTGTTCTCATTTCAGAGCATCAAGAAGAAATCTTTTTTCTTCCTTTTCTCAGCCTAGCCTGAGCTGAAAAGAAATGCTAAATAATGACATTACATCTAAATGTACCTATTTCTGATTTGGCTATAATGACATGAATGATCAAAACAAATCCTGTAAGAGAGTAGCTTAATTTAAGCAGCTTTCAGATACTCAGCTCTATGCCTAGATAACCACCGACAGAATCATAGGGACAACTAATGAAAGGAGATGCCCATAGCAGGAATCCAAGTTTTCCTGGGATAAGACAACTTCATATTAATATTGTTGGGTGCTTCCCTAAAACAGTGACCCCAGGAGTAGCTACAACCATTAGATATTAATGAGATATCTTAAACCCAAGTTTACAGGCCTCAGTTTCTATGGCTGACCAATACATTAACACAGACCTGCTTTGCACAGGAAGTTCATTATGCAGGTAGGTCCCAAATAATCTCTCAAAAGAAAATGCACTTAAGTTGTAACTGACACTGGTGGTAGAAGCACCTCAAAAGCAGGAGTAGGGAAGCAAGAAAACACTTCTCTTTCCCATTCATTCAGCTTCTTTGTGCTCATGCCTAGCAGAGTAACTCCAGCTTGACCCTTAAGTGAAAAAAACAGTTCATGTTTTCTGTCAAGGAAGCTAATTTGGGAACCCGTTTCACTATAAACTAGCAGAAAACCTGCCAGCTCTTTTCAATTGCAAGCCTCTGTTCTTTACTTCCTGGGCCAAGCTTGAGCCAGGCACCTAAACAAAAAGCTCCATTTTTCAGTAGGAGGCCCTGTGCCTGTTTTCAAACAGCGATGCAAAGCATCGGAAGTTCTCTCCTTTGCTCATACTGTAATTCCAAAGTGCACAGATCACAACTGCTCTTTTAAGGTAACACTTGGGAAAACAGGGTCCCAGTGAGGTAATCTGATACGATTCAAACCCATACAGAGTCTGAACTCACAGGTACATCCTCATGTTCTATGCAGAAGGATGTTTGCCTGTGCCCTCTATTAGGTTTCTCTGCTGGTTCAGAAGACAGGCCCCTCAGGGCAGGAACTGTCACTGATGTCTGCACAGTATCCAGTGTGACATGGCTCAGCACCTTCTCCCTCAACACTTTCAAAGCTTCTTTGAACACATGCCACACGATTTCTACTCTGCAAGCATCCTGCCTCGCTGCATAACCACAGAATAATGTAGGTTGGAAGACACCTCAAGAGGTCACCTGGTTCTAATGCCTGGCTCAAAGAGCTAACTTTAACTTCAGATCATCCTACAGGTATGACTGACAGATTTACTACAGCTCTTGACAAAGCTGGGAATCTGAAATACAGCTTCTTGACAAAACTAAAGGGCTCTTATGATATTAGGATGCAATACCGGAGTTCTTATAACCATAAGGAAGGTGGGCATTCAGATGTTGTCAGAAAATAACTGAACTTGGGCACACCACCATATTAAGGCTGACAGCCCTGGATTTCAGAGTCATAGCAGCCTGAATACTAGCACATTGCATGAAATTCAACAGCTTGCCCTCTAGAAGAATCAGCATCTCAATTTTATTTAAGGTGTTCATATCCTGAAATAAATTCCTTTCACTTGTTTATAATGCTTCCATGCCTTACTAATGGGGGGGAGGCTTAAATAAAGCTCCTGCTTTTAAATGCAAATCAAAGTCCTGCATGCTCTGAAGGTTTCTGTCCATGCAAGAGCACTTACACAGTGCTGCTGACAAATACCAACTCCACCACTTTGCAGGAGCTGTGATACACTAATAAAGCAATTTTCACCAGCAATAACAATTAATGTAAAGAACCTGTCACATACAGAGCTGTAAATGAAGCTCATATTGCTACTGAAATGCAGGATAAGCAACTGTCCTGGTTTGGCACTTGTTTGTTTTTACCACAGCAGCAGGACTGTTGAATTTGATGACTTGCTTCATTATTCCCCAGTTTTATAAAGCTACTAGGCAGGATGTTGGTTTCACTTAGATTGGTTTTAATTCCAGCATAATGCAAGCTTCACATTCATGTTTCAAGATAGGTGTTTGTGAAGTAAGAAGTATCCAGGGAAATAAAAACATGACAGAGAAGAATTAAAACAAGAGGAAGAGCTGCAGCAAGAGCCACCCATGTAGCAGGTCACACTGACACTCAAGACATTCAACACAGGAACAAAGGTAACTGCTCTCTGTTATCATGTGCAATGGCAACAGCAGTAAATAGAGTATCCAAGGGCTTTCTGACTTAATCACAGGCTTGCATCTTAGAATCAGTAGCCACTGCTGTAGAGAAAGGGAAATAAAATGCCTTAACTCAAATCTGTATTATCTATGAGCTATTTATAGATTACTTCCTCTCCTCCCCTTCCCCACAGAGATGACTCTGAGCCCTGGTCAGCAGGAATGTAACACGTGCTGGAAGCTGTGCTGTAACTGCCTCACTATCTCTCAGGGTATCAAATACAAGCATTAGCGTACAGCTGCGAGTCATGGCTGAGTTCAGCATGCCGTGAACAGAGAGCTTCAAATCAGGCAGTCACAGCTAATTCAGACTCCTCACTGCTAGTTATAGCTCTGAAGAGCATGTGTGGCCAATTTTCCACATTCTGTAACCAGAGGCTGCGCTCAACAATTAACCAATGGCCCTGTGATGGGATGGCTGTAGATTTGTGTCCCATACCCCACAAGATGCTATCTGACCAGCCTAAAGCTCCAATTACAAGTGCTCTCCTATCCTTGGTATCTGACTGATTCAGACAAGAATCACAGAGCAAGAAATCCATCTCATTAAAAGTGACCAGGTTTAAATATAGACAATGTCATAATGATCTATTTAATTGAATACTTTGAGGAACAGTAGCTCTTGGTATGATCCCATTCTTACTACATCTACTACTCATGTAGTTAGAAGCCTCATAGGTTGTAACAAGCAAACAGCTTTGGAAAGGGAGTCAATGTCAGCTTCAAACATGTGTCTTAAAGCCACTAACCACCTCTTCATGATCACAAGTTTAGAGTTATCTGTATACCCTTGCAAAATTATTCTCCTCTTCCCTGGCCACAAGTACCATTCCTAAATAGGAAATGAAGAGGACAAGATGATTTTTATACAGCCTAATGTCAGGAATGGCTTAAAAGCAAGCTGTGTTGATGCGATATCACAGCTGCATTTTGTAAGGGTTTATCCACACAGTAGGAGGATGTGAATCTCACCTGGGGAAATGTATCAGTGCCACACCACCTTCACCTTGTGGACCAACACACACCGAGGTAGAATTGTGCATGGTAACCACTGAAATATTTCAATCAACACCTACCTGCAGAAATATTTTACTACCTTCACTTGCTGCAGCTAAGCTAAGTTTTGACTACATCTACCTACCCATATAGTTACATGTGCAAGTGGCTCTTAGCACATGCTACTCTTAGGGAGAAAAAAAGCCCCAAGCACACAGAAGTTGTTTCTCCAAGTCCTCAGGTTCACATCACAAGTTATTTTCAGTAACAAATTCCCTCTTCTGCCCCATTGCTTGTGTCTGTGTGTGGGACCACAGACCAAAGCTGAGAACCAGACTGGTGTCACAGCACTGTCTCCTCAGCCTCTGAGCTGGTCGGTCGGTCTCCGTTTTCCTGACAGCACTATTCATTCCCAGAGGCAGAGGAGCAGAGCCAGGCTCTCACAGTGCCTGCACCATTCATTATGGGTTATAAACAACTCAGAAAGACTCTGTATGAGCCAGAATCAGTCACTGAAAATTGAATACAAACACAGGATTTAATTTTATTTTGCTACTAAGCATGAAAAGACAATACCCACATAATAAGAGTAAATGCATTTTGTGAAGGTAGTATCTCTACACAGTGTTAACTCTATTCAGTAAGTATGAGGTCAGATAAGACAGCACAGCAGGGAGAAGAAAGAGCAGCTCAGTATCACCTTTACATCTTCTACTCACAGCTGGTGTAAGACAGAACAATGAGAGACCCAAGTACTCCACACTGCCTGAGACACGGATGTTCAAAGAAGCAACAAAACACTGCTTTCATGACTGGAAGAGGAGAACCCTTTTATATGGGGAAAGATTCTTCAGCACACAGTTCTAACCTGTAAGTAAAATAGTGATACAAAACACAGAGTAGCAGCAAAAGCCATGGAACTGGGCCTGTAACACTTTCTTGCAGGTTACAGTATGCCACTGTTCTGTGTTATTCTAACAGCAATCCAGTTAAATACAGCAAAAAGCCCCTATAGAAAAGAGACTGGTTTTGTACTTGTAACCAGAGTAACCTTTACTAGACCTAAGGACTAACCTAGGACTAAGCTGTCTTGAGAACCTGTACGGCAGCAGAGCTCAAGTCCTACCATCAACTGTTATGGAAATGAGTTTCATAAATATTTATCAGTGCAGTCAGTCTTTACAAAAGATGACTCCAGCTGTCTTCAGAAGACCATATTGGCTATATTTCAAAGGCAGGAGTTGACAGTTCTTTGATGATGTTCAATACTTGAAGCATATATCACAATCTAGACAACAGCCTAGCCAGCTTGCCTTGTTAGAGGTATTTAAAAGAAAACTGTGCTCTCTGGTACATAACATCTTCTAAATCCTAAACATACAGAAACCAACCACAACATGTAATTTAGACCCCTAGTTTAGGCTCAAGTATTTCCACAAAGCTGTTAAGTGGTGGAGGGAGAAGGTGTTTTACAGTTTGATGACTGTTGCAATTTAACAACTTCCCTATGTTTGTGACTCCAGTATCATGACATTGTCATACTACTGCATGATGGTGACCTGGTGACAAAATGATGCTAACAGGTCAGCTTAATAGTTCAAACAAAAATAACCTGCCAACAGCCTGTCTATACTGGAGCTCTTAATACTGCTGCTGGTGGTGTGAATGAGCTAGTGCTTGTTGTATTGGATCCAATCTGCAAAGTATTTCCAGCATTCAGATAAACTGGATTAAGAAATAAAACCAGATGAAGGCAGGCATAGAAGGGGGAACATAATCACACCTCAATACCTGGGCTGTAACACAAAAGTGGGAAGTACTTGATGCCTCCACTAGCATAGAAGGAATCCTTATTCTTTCATGGATTACACACACCTCTCAAATTACATTTTCTTTCTTTACCTCTAGCAATTTGGGGCACTGGTATTAACTGGTGGCACTGTAGACTGGAAAACTGCACTAAATGCAAGGTTATAAGCTTCACAGATTTCCTCTTGGGCATATGGCACTAGGTGATAGCATCCATGGAAACCTGCACAAAGTCAGTGCTTGGTTTACACGCAAGAGTTTAGCTCCAACATCAGTTTACAATCATCAGACTCTAGAACTGTTTCTGAAGCTAACACACGGTGGCAAATAGTGATGTACAGCTCAAAACCAAAACTAACTGTAAACCAGGCTTTTAATCAATCTTCTCTGTGGAAACATAACATTTGAGTTTGAAACCTGGCTGAGCGTTTCATACTCTACACATCACTAACCCAGGCAGTCTCTCAACTCTGGCATGCATCATTTAACCGGGGTATGTGTAACCAATCTTGAGGGAATAAGCATTGCAAAATGGCTGCAGTTACACACAAAATTAGTCCAAAATAAAGGAAGAGTTTAGTGGGGATAAGCTTCCCTCTAGCTAGAAGGATGCAAGTACTGTTTAACTAAAAGCAAGGATCAATGGGGCTGGCGTAGATACACTCCTAACAATTCCCATCAATTTGCTGGGTTGTCCTGGATGTGTCATTTAAGCTCTTTCTTCCTCAGGTCTATAGGGAAAACAGAGGAACAATCACAGTGAAGTGCTGTTGTAAGCTTGAGATCCAAAACTAGACTGTACTTTTGTTCAAATATCAGGTGCCAAGGAATCTGCTGCATTTAGTAAACAATGCAGAGGCGTGACAGCAGAAGGCGGCCCTGCCTCTCAAGGCACAAGAACTTCAAAAGATAAGCAACGTTAGTACAAAGAAACCTAAAAATACCTGACAGTTAAAGCCAGCTCTTCTGAAAATAGATTAGAAAGTCACAGCAAACCCAATGAGGTTACAAGTTGATTTCCAGGGTGATTTTGTTAAAGGAAGAAAACGAGTGGAACTTTTGAGAGGGGCAACTTCCAGAAAATTAAAATCACTGAATGTTCACATGTAACATTCCTGGCAACTGGAGATTGTGTTAATTGGAACAAAGAGGCTTTTTCCTGGAAGACCCTAAGCACCATAAATTCAAAAGCGGCAGTTTTCATCTGTGGGACACTGAATGCCTACAACTCTTCTAGAGAATCAGAAAGAAAGAGAAGCCTCACCTCATACATCCATGGGATTTTGAGAATCCACACAGCACATATTTAGAGAAAAGCCAGAGGGATTTAAGACATTAAATATGACTTTTAAATAACAGTATTTTTATTAAAGGAGATGCAATTTGCAGATAACAACAAACCACACGGTTATTTCCCGTGTTCTCTCAATGTAAAAGCCTGACTCAAGAAACCACCCTGACAAACTGCTCTGACACAGGGAAACGGGTGCACCAAAAGGAAACCTCGGGAGCAGCAGCGGAGTCCGAGCTCCCAGCCTGGTGCATGTCACCCAAGGAGAACCAACTCAAACATGCCGCTGCACTAACACAGTCGCCTGTCAGTCAAACCAACAGCAGTCCACCACCACCCCTGAGGAGCTGGAGTCTGTTTTTAGCTATTGAAGGAGAACAGTGACATTTACTTGACCGTCAGAAGGCTGCTGCAGACCGGCTGCTATGTTTGCGAACAGCATCCTCTAATTAGAACAATGGCTCTTAAAGGGGAATATATATTACGGCTGAAAATATATTGGTAAAAGCAGAGCAAAAGTCAGAGCTGTACAGATCGGTAATGACAACTGTGAAGCATTTTAGACAGATGATAAAGGGGCTGATGGCAGAGTTAGCAGCTTAGTACGTTAAGGAGGATGGACATAAAATAGAACCAGAAAATGGTCTAGGTTGGAAGGGACCTTAAAGCTCACCCAGTTCCAAACACCTGCCGCGGGCAGGGTCACCTTCCACTAGAGCAGCTTGCTCCAAGCCCCTGTGTCCAACCTGGCCTTGAACACTGCCAGGGATGGGGCAGCCACAGCTTCTCTGGGCACCCTGTGCCAGCGCCTCAGCACCCTCACAGGGAAGAGCTTCTGCCTAAGAGCTCATCTCAATCAGTTCAAAGCCATTTCCCCTTGTCCTATAGGATCAAGCCTTTAAGTAACCATATTTCAATCTATACTGAGTGCTTATTTGAGACAATAAGGACTGCTAGTCGTTTCTATACCAAACACGAAAGCAAAAACCATAGTAAAAAAAAAAGACGTTTCTAAAACATGCACAAAACTCTAAACTAAGCAACACCGAAGATTCAGGGATAGCTCCAGTGCAACACCTGCCTTTGGCTCCGTTCGCACAGCGGCAGCGGTGCGGAAGAGGAACGGGAGCGGCAGAGCCCGGGCAGCGCTGTGGGACCCGCTGTGCTCCAGACACCAGAGTGCGAAGTGAAGCACGGAAACAAGACGCTGCCTTGGCATTCCCGAACCCTGCGAGCGGGAGGAGCACCTCGCTAAGCACGGCTCCCGCAGCGAGCATCCTCCGCGGGAGGAATTAAGCATTAAACCCCTGCAGGTAACCGGAGATAACAGCTGTGAGGCAGCTTCTAACTCGGTTCATGACAGCTCTCCATGGACAACGAGCTACCGCGCAGCACCAGAGCACCCCGCCCGGCCCCGCTGCTCCCGGAGCGGCCCTAGGCCTCCGCCGGCCTGACCGCGCCCGGAGGCGCTGACCCCGCTGCCCGGAGGGCTGCAGACGGGGCAAAAGGCGGCAGGGCCCGCCCCAGGGTGCCACACACCGCCACAGGGGCAGTGCCCGCCCCGTGCCGCTGCAGCCACCGGCTGAGGGGAAAGCAGCGAAGTCTCCGGTAAGCAAACGGGGAAGTAGCGGCTCTGCTCCCCGCTCCCCACACCCGGCTCCCTGCCGCCAAGGACGCCGCGGGCCGCCTGCCAGCCCCCCCTTCACTCTCCCGCCCGCCCGCTGAGCGAGGCCGGCCGCTCACCATGGCGAAGCCGGAGAGCAGCGCGGAGGTGCGACTGGAAGCTTTCAGCTTGGCGCGGCTCAGGTAGAGCTTCCGCCAGGACAGCGCCTGCATCGAGTGCTCGTTCAGGCTCATGGGCTCGGGGCGGCGGAGCACAACGGAGCGGGAGGCACAGACAGCGGCAACGACGGCTCCTTCCGCCGGCGGAGCGAGGACACCCGCTGCGCTAACACCGCATGGGCCCGGCCGCCGCTGCTGCCGGTGCTGGGGCCGCGCCTGCCGCCGCGCCACTCCGGGCCTGCGCGCCGGGGCCCGCCCGCCGCCTCCTGATTGGGCAGCGCGGCGCGGGCCTTCCCCTCCGCGGCCGCTTCCCGGCGGCCCTCAGAACGAGGCAGCCCGAGCGTCGCGCCCCAGAGGCCGCTTCCCGCTGCCGCCTTCAGCGGGGCTCTGAGGGGCCGAGTCCCGCTGCGGGGCCTGGCCGGAGCCCGCGGAGGGTGAGCGGCCCCAGCGTGCAGCGCAGGTGACAGGAGCCTGCGGTCTCAGTCACTTTGTGCTCCGATGACCGGCGGTAGGTGCCCCGCAGCTCTGTGGGGAACGGGTCGGGCTGTTCCCCCTGTGGCAGCCCCTCACAACACAGCCACAGCCTTCTCAGCTGCCTCCCCTCCTAGAAAGCTTAAGAGTTTAATCGACATCTGTCCTGTGGATCTGAACCTGAGAGCAGCCACCCTCGATTCCACTTAAAATCGATAACCCTCTGCCACGTACTCAACCCTTTTATAGAGGTTTTATGGGCCCAGAGCTCCTGATAAACCCGGTTTTTATCAGCACACAGCTGATAACCTTGATCAAGCAGAACATTTCAACAGAACACAGGCCATTGTTGAAAGATTATTTTATTGCCACGTTCATGCAAGCCTTTTAAAACATACTTTATTTTTCTTTGTGTTTTACAGAGTGGAAAAATTAGGCATAGAGCAGAACTCCATAGCAAATACATGGCACAGCTCTGAAGATGATTTCTGAAAAGGTGAGACAACACAGTGCTGGTGCCAAGGCACACTGCCGGGTCTGGAGAGCTAAAGGATGTGTAAGGAACCAACCTGTTGCAGTCCATTTCTAGTAAGAAATATACAATTTTAACAATATAAATAACACCGGACAAGGAGGCTTGTACTATTTACAGGTATTCGGATGGTCACATACCGCAGTGCTGCTTCCATTACAAATCAGAAGCACGGGTGATTTTCTATGGCGTTGACTTTTTTCGCTTTACAAGTAGGGAAAATTCAGCACATTCTCTTTAACGGTTTTGCTTTGTTCCTCTCTTCACACCCTTCTCTGATTTGCAAGGCCATTCATTTACGTATGCACAGCTAACGTGATGACAATCTACAGCCACGCAGGTCTCAATGCTCTTCATTTACATGGCATTCTTGTAAAAGGGATGTAGTTGAAGCCGCCAAGAAGAAAATCTTACTTGGAGCTCTTCAGAGGCATTCCCTGAAACTACTGTTTTTTTACCACATAGATTTAATTTCTCATTCCCTTCTCAGGAAATAAATGGAGTTGTCTTCTTATAAAACAGCTCCTGGTTAGATTTTTATCTACGGGGGCATTAAAACACCTCAATGAATGAGTCAGACTCATTCTTCTACAAATGAGCTTGACCTGCAGCCTCTCCTGAAAAGCTGGTGTGCCAGATCCTCTACGAAGTGTTTGCCACCGTCTTTCTCTTTTATGTGTGACAGCATAGTGTCCATTTGTGTGAAAGTCCAGAGTAAGCATTTAATGGTGGACTTGGCAGGGTTAGGTTTGCATCTGGGCTTGATGATATTAAAGGTGTTTTCCAACCGAAATGATTCTATGATTATAAATCCTTTGTTCAGTGTGCTTTAATTCTAAATGAAAAAACAACCCCAAACCAGATCTCATCACCACAGTCGGCTTCTTGTGTGACTCCCACTGATGCCTTAGGCTAAGTCTGAGCACCGCATTGCAAAGCAGTGACTAACAGCCCCTTTGTGTACTGCATTTTCCTTGGGAGATGAGATAACCATCGAAACCCAGTGATGTAGTTTCCTCTATATCTCAAGCAAACTCCGTCTCTGTCGTTTAGTTTCTGTGGATTCATACATTTAAAAATATTTTGCATTGCTGCTCATAAGCTATGAAAAATATTTATGTACGTAACCAAAACTGATTGTTCACTATTTCATCTCATTTCTGCACAAAATTACTGCTGAACTCTTAATAGGGTCAGTGCTACTGCATAAATAATACCTACGTCTTGACCTGTTCCCTAAAATCAGATTTCTCTAGAAAAACACAAACCTGCAAGAGACATAAATCTGAGAAGGACCTGAAGCGTCTTTCTAAAGAACTGTATTAAAACAGACTCTTGGAACTCACTCTCTCTATTCTTCTGTCCGTCAGTCCTAACCCTGTTTATCAGGAAGGACTTTGAAAGATACAACAGTATTGCACACTGATGAACTGTTGAGTTCATGTTTCATTCAGAGAAACAGTACAGAAAAGGACCTACCAACATCAGTAAAGAAACCATCCCATCCCCTTTTTCCAAACCCAACCCATGTGTAACTTTCAGCTTCCATCTTTGTAGCTTTGAAATAAATATCATTTCCTTTCCTATCAGAAATAAAAAGTCGGTTTGTTAAATAGGAGAACATAAGCTGAGGCTCAGGGCTTCTGCAGCTAAACCATTAGGGCTGTAGCAGCGTACCCTTCTTCCCCTTGATGTTCAGAACATTTTACAGCTCCATTTTGAGGTACAAACTAAACAGGATAAATTGTTTTCTTTCCAGCCCTAATTACTCATTATTACACACCTCTGCACTGCTACTCTAGAGTTAGCTGAAACAAAAAGACTCTGTCATGCTTAATTAACTCCTAGAAATGCTTCAGGGAGTTCTGAAATCAGGCTGGAGTTCAGGACTGGGCTTTGTTGTTCCCTCTGATCAGTGCAATTGCGGAAGGCCACCAAAAGGGTGTAGTCCTGCGCTCTTCCTTCATCTCAACCACACTCTTCATCCTGTAGATGACATCGGTCAGATGGCTACAGAGCTTCAGTGAATTGACCTAATGAAAAATATAAGTGGGTTTGTTTTTTTTTTTCTTCTTAATGGGCGAGTTTTCTACCGGATCAGGTCATTGAACTGACTTATCCCGTGGCTGCATGAACACTGCACCTAATGCAGGAGAAATGAGGGACATAGCAAGAGGAAAGCAACTGGCTCTAGCAGCAGCAGGCTGCTATTACCCCTAATTAGAGGTAATGTCAACCCATTCTTGGATCATTTAGGCATGAACACAATCGGAGCAGGTGGCAGAAGTCCAAGTTTCTTTCCAGAAAGCCCCGAGAAGTGTGTACACAGGCACAAGGATACTCAGAGTTCTTTTTTTCTGCTAAAAATGTACTTCTGTATGTTCTGTAGGAGGATTGAATAAGAAGAATGGGTTCGTGGAGTACTGTATGATTAATGGATGTGGCACTGAGCATGCAAAGGTTCTACCCTCTGCAAAGCAGTTCCAAAGCATATTTCCATTTCACATGCAAATCATCACTTCCATTTGTTCCTGTTATTGTACCAAAACCAAATCAGTTTACCACAGAACGGAAATTATGGTAGATCTGCATGAAAAACAACACATCAGAAGTTGTAAGAGGCAAATAAAGGTTTGTCAGCAGTCCTAAGCAGTGAGGAGGTCAAGGCAAACATCTCTCCAGATCTCACTGAAAGCAAAGCTTAAAGTTTAGTTGAGGGAGTTTCTGCAGAGGAAGGATTTTGATGTGTCATGACTAGAAAAATGGTATTTTTAACTTCCTTCATAGAACAACGGTTAAAGATCTAGGCTTCCATCTTAACCCAAAGTAATGGATAGAATGGTAGATCTTACAGGATCAAAGACACCTTAAAAAATGTTTTAAGATTACTTCATTCTATCCAATAGGAAATAACTATGTTTGAAAGCTCAATAAGGGTGAAATAAACCCTTTTCTTCACAGCCCTCCCAAGCACAGCTCTGGAGTTCTTACTTTAGCAGAGTTCTGCAGTACTAGTTTAATTAAATGAGAGCTCCTCGTTTCAGGCTAGCAAGGTCAGGATCCAGCACACTGGCATGATCACATCTTCAATAATTTAAGCTACATTAACATCCAGAAAATAAGTGCCAGTGGATTTTCTTTCAGTGTAGTTCAGGCCAGACCCTTCCTCAGTGACCACTGCTGCCTTGTCACATTCTGGACACCTGAAGTGGTTTTCCCCCCATTTTTTACACTGAACAAAGCCAGGCTTTCAGCAGCTCCATATTGTCCCATACCAAGCCCTGCCTCACAGGGCCCAGCTCCAGGGACTGCTGCAAAGCTTTGCATGATCTGCTTGGAGGGGAAATGAGCCATAACCCTCATCTGCCAGTACTTCACCTGTATGCTGAAGCACTTAGGTTTAATATTGCTTCTAAATAGCTTTATCCTATGTAACACAGCTGTGGATATTCTCATCACCCACATCTGCCTCCTCTTCCCCACTTCTTTTAAGTTTGAGACTTTGTTATTAATATACCGATTATATACAGTATTACTTCAATGGTAAAATGAACTGTAGTTTAATAGGAATCATTTCTGTCTTGAAACAAGGTTAAAATGTTTTCTATTTTCAGAGATACCTAGATTTAGTATGTGGTATTTCTAAAACCACATATTTACTTTCCTGTTTGAGTATCTGGTGTTTCAGGTGTATGTGGTGAACACAGCCCCTGGTTTCTTTGATACACAAAGAGTCTCAGATTGTTCATGTCCCCCAAAAAAAAAAAGAATTTAGAAAAATTAGTTGATTTTCTTTTATGTTCCGGCTTTTTTTGGTGGACTTTTGTGGAATGGATGATGTGCTTCTTATCTGATGATTCTCTAGTAACATCCATTCATCTTGTACAAGTCCTGCAGCCTCAAACTTGCAGATGTACACATGCATTTGATTTTGAGATGGAGTAGTCTTGGCAGAAAGGTGAACATATGTGTAAATCTCTTCAGGATTGTGGATTCATAATGCACTTGCTAGAACAGACATCTGGAATCCACACTTCAATATATAGCCTATCCAACACTTCTATATGATCATAAAGTTCAATCATCTGCAAATAGGGAGATGCTGGAGAAAAATTACATGGTTTTTTTCAAGGTTCTGCAGATGCACAATGAGAAGGTCACTGCCTTAAATCCTTAGAACTCTGGCTTTTCCTGCCTTTATGCACATTATGGTTCCTTAAAATATGGATCTTTGCAAAGAGATGACTGGCAGGGCCTGCAAAGTTGAACTTTAGTGTGTTTTAGCTTTGGTATAATAGTTAATGTTTCATATAGTACCTAGAATGTGATGGGTTGGGTATGCAAGGGATAACTGGGTACTGTGTGAGGCTGTTTCTGTTGGTAGAAGTGGGCAAGAATAGGAAAGAAAAAATCCCTCTCTAACAGAGATTTCAGTCTGTGTTTAACTATTGTGAGAATTAAAGCCATAGAAAGACAGTTTGCAATTCCCTTCTGAGATCTGCACTAGTTAGATCGGAGCACTCCCTGATGTGTGCTGCTCCAGGAGAGCCAGCAGTGAACAAGGACCATACCGAAGGTACAAACACACTTATTCTCAGCATCAACTGCAAAAAGCAAAGCAGAGGAGCACCCACCTCAACCATCAGCCCGGCCCCGCGTTTAGGCACTCTTTGATGCTCCCCTCTTTACGGGTGGTAAAGATGTCACTGCAGAGAGGAGCCACGCGTTGGAACCTTGAGGCTGTTCAAATCCTGCACTCTGACCCCGCTGGTGCAGTGAAATGGTCCCGGTATTTACTCTTCATCAATTTAGAGTAGATGGGAATCCGTGTTGTAGAAACAGGACTCTGGGGACAGCTTCACGAGCCCGCAGCATCGCCAGTCTGGAGATTTCTTTTGTATCAGCAGCTATTCCCTATTATTTTGATGTACTTTTCCACGCGGTTTCTACCTACCTGCTGCACACACGTATTACAAAGGCAATTTTGCTTTATTTCGCACCTAATAATACATTCCGCACACCAGGACCCGTTCGCACTGGACGGACACGGTGCGCAGCTCTCGGAGCGCCTGCAGCAGCCGACGGGGGTGCCTCGCTGCACGCGTGGTACGAGCACATAGCGTGGGCACAACGCGGCGGGAATTCACCCCAACTCCACTTATTATAACGTTCTTTTACAGCGTTTGCCACGCTCACTCGCCACCCTTTACAGGAGTCCGATAAACCGTGCTCCGCGTTACAACGTGGGGCGGACGCTGAGCCCGCTTCCCTCCATGCAAGCGGAACCGCGCAACTTTTAGGGCTTGTCCCCGGCGGCGGTACCCACATAGGGACCATCCGCGCATTCATGGGGTCTCCCCCTCCTCGTCCTCCGTCCGTCCCCCCCCTTCCCTGCGCACCCGTTCAGCGCCTGCGTGCGGCCGCTGCGCACTCGTGACCCAGCCGCGGCCCCGGCCCAGCGCCGGTACCGCTCCCCCGGACACCCACCCCACCCCGGTCGTGTTTACGTTCCGGGCACTGCGACGCCTGCGCCCCGCTCCACACGCAGCGCCTGAAAATGGTTCCTTAGGACTTTGCAAAAGGAATCACCGCGGCCGCCACCCCCCTCCCCTTCCCTCCCCTCCTCCCCCCCCCCCCCGGAAAAAAAAAGTGCTGGTGCAAAATAGCAAAACTTTACCGAGAGCTCGCTGGCTTTTGGGTCTCCTCCTCCCCATGTGAGCCAAAAATGCAGGACAGGAACTGTTGACAATTAAGTGATGAAACTCTCCAAAAAAATGGAGGCAGAGACAGACTCTGGAAGAAGATTGGTGTGTAGCTGGCGTCTGCCGATTTCCTATTCGTGCCTTTTCATTGATTTTGCTTAATTGTTTGCAAAGGGAGCAGTGCATGGAGAGCGGAGGCAGCAGAGCGACGTAGTTTGCAAGAGAGCAGCTTAGGCACTGGGGCAGGGGGTGGAATTTAACCGAAGGGAAGGAGAGGGTGGGACGATAATAGATAGAATTTATTATTTCTTTCTTTCCTGCGGGTTTGATGCCGATCCACCGCTTGTGTCCGCGGGCCGGGTTTGCAGGGAGAGGGGCAGAACCGCTGGAGGTGGCCGCTGCATCGGGGGCCCCTCCGACCCCCCAAACTGGGAACCCACCGACCTACCTTTAGCACTCAGCCCACCACCTACCAGCCCCTACGGGGGGCACCGGGACCCCCCCCCCCCATTTAACCCGTTCCTGCCCCTCGCCGCGGAGGTGAACGGAGGGTGCGGAGTGGGGCGGGGGCTGCGCATCCATCGCGGCGTTCCATAGATTTTTAAATCGCGGCTTCCGGTGTGACTATGGAAACACGGGGATTATGTAAATCCCGAAACCGGGATGCCGTGCCTGGGATTAAATGATTCACACCCCCTCACCCCCCCCCCCCCCCCATTCCCTTCCCTGGGAAATCGCCTTGTATTCACGTGCAGAAATAACAATATTAATAAAAACAACCCGGCCGCTGACGAGCATTGGCCGCCGCTAACGGGGGGTTTAACGGGACCGCCTCGGTGCCGTGGCCGTGACTTTCGGGCGAGAGCCGCCGGCCTTCCGCTCGCCCCGAGCCGGCTGCTCCGGCTCCGCGGCCCCCGCGCTGGTTCCCGCAGCCAAACACCTGTTATCCGGGTCTAGTTCCGTGCCGCGGGATGGAAAAGGTTGTGCACGCAGCTGGAATTGCATGTTTGGGTTCAGGTTTTGTTCAGTCTGTGTCTTGCCACCTTAATTATTTCCTCCCAGAGCTGTTTATCAGCTCGGCTGCACGATGCATGCGCTTTCCTCTCATTTATTTTCCTCCTTTCTCCCCCCCCCCCCCCCCCGGACAATGTGTTTATGTTTTGTTTTGTTTTCTAGCGCTCCATTGGCAGAAGGCGGTACGATGAGAACGAGGATCTCTCGGACGTGGAGGAAATTGTCAGCATCAGGAGTTTCAATTTGGAAGAGAAATTAAAGAGCAAACTGTATCACGGGGATTTCGTGCATGCCATGGACGGGAAAGGTAACTGCCGGGCCGGGGCCGGAGCTACCCCCGCCCCGCTCCACTCCGCTCCTCTCGCGGAGCCTCCACGTGTAGTTCCGCGCCTGGGTTCGTATTTCGCGCCCGCGCCCCCTGCCCGGGGATCCGGTGACGACGCCGGGGGGCGGCTGCTGCTGCACCGGGGCCTTGCAGCCCGCCCTGCCATGGGGCTACCCCGGGTGTGCCCGTTACCCCCGGTCCTGCACCCGCAGAGCGGTTGTTGCCCCGGCACGGTGCTGGGCAGGCGGCGTGGATCCGCCGCTGCCGTGACCCCGCGCACCGCTGGGATGCTCAGGAATTAGGTCCTGGCAAAGGACACGCTGCACCCCCAGGCCCCCGCGTCGCCGGAGGCGATTCCCGCTCCTCCTCCGCTCTGGCTGAATCCTTTTGCGAAAGGATGTAAAGGGTGTTCGCCTGGGTCGGAACCTTTAAAGTCAATCACTTTGTGTTCCTATCATGCGTTAAAGGATAACGTGATTTGGTTTGCTTAGGTGACTTAAATTACGGAGCGGTGGCAAAGGCAGCGTGGTTGCCTGGCAGGAAGGGAAACGGGAGAGCTCTGCCCGGGAATCAAATGGGACTGAGAGGTTTGCAGGTCACCGTTATTTACTGCAGCCTTGCCGACAAGGCTCCTGATTCCCAGATGGTCTTCACCAAAACTCGGCCTTCCTGAGGGCTTTCTCAGGCAAGAGGAGTCGTGTTTGTAATCCTCCTGCAATGGCTCTAACGGGGGAGCCACTAATCTAGTTTAGAAAATTTCCTTTTTTCCCTTAGGCTTCGTTTTGCATGAGCATTTTAAGCTCCTTTTAGAAAAGTTAATGTGGTGGAGAAATTAAATACCTATCTCACTGAGGAAGGTATTTGTTTAGGAGATAAGCTCAACCCTGACCCCTCTTCCTCCAAACAAAACACAAACACCTATTTTTTTGAGCTGGAAAATGTTAATTAATTTTCCAGAAAATGATGGATTTCTACCCTCACCTTCCAAATACTCAGTGTTTGCCATTGCTACACTAACTGTAGTACAACCCATAGTTTCCCTCTCTCAGCAGCTCTGGTATCTTTGGGTTGCCTTCTCCTTTCTAGGGAGCTTGAAAATAAATGAGTGTCTTTTGTTAGTTTGTTGTGGTCTGGGTCTGCTTTGTTCAGTCCCACAAGGGATTTAGGCGCTTTGTTGGGGCATTAGAAGAAAGGCTCTGCCTTCCTACTTGCTCTGCCTTGAGTTTTACTATTGGTTTATTTTTATATCCAAGAGTTGAATCTAGGCACAACGGTGACAGTGGTTAGTAAGAATGAAACAGTTTGTGTGCACACATGGAATTGGTTGAGCCATAGATTCATTTATTTTCATTTCCCAGATTCTTGTTTTATTTTTTCATGATAACTCTTGATGTATTTTGTTGCTAGGAATGTGGTTGGAGGCTTTTTCCTCGAGGTGCTGCCAGGCAGTGGTGTGATTTTTGGCTTCAATGCAGTTTGTCAGAGCTACTTGTTCCCTACAGCTGCCTCTGCTTCTTCCTCCCAGCTTCTTCTTAATGTTTGTTGACTTTCTGACTTGGATGAGTGTCCTTAAGAAAATATCTGTGGTTTATTTATTTGCTTACCTAGAGGCAGTAGTTTAATGCCTCTGGGAAAGGAAGACTTCTCTAGTACAGAAGTATTTATTTGGTAACCTTAGTTAATTGGAGGATTCAATTACACTTATTTTGAGACTAGTAGCAATAAAGTTGCCATCATTTTAATGGTTTCGTAAATGGATAATTACAGTGCTCTGATTTGCTAACTCTAAGTAGGAATATTATATCCCTACTTGTCGTAATTGCTAACTGAATACAGCAAAGAAAAAGTTGTAAAAATAGAGGGAAATACATCTGCGGGAGTGGAAGCTGAGCCTCTGTGTCCCCTGTTTCTGTCAGTATGGGTTCTGTAATAGAGCAAACCACTGCTACAAGCTCAGGTCTGAGGTTCTCATCTCTCCCAGGAAGTTTGCATGTTGCTGGCTGAATCTTGGGGAAGTTAAACTACTTGTGTGTATCTGAATATACTACATAAAGTGTGTGGTGTATTTCACACAATGTAGTGTATTTTGAAGTGCTAGAGAGTCAGGCAGTGTTTTCCATTTTAAGGTAGCGTATGGATGCTATAGAAAAGTCATTTTTTTCCTGTAGGAATGTGGGAATAGCAGAACCATAGAAACATACATGGCCACTGCAGGAATTCCTCTTCTCTCTGTGGCACAAGGCTCCAAAGGGAGTGTGGGGTTTTGTAGGCGCAGCTCACCCAAATCGCTGCCTTGTAACTTCCTCTCTAATCCCCAAATCGCTGCCATTGTATCAGATGGTTGCATAAAGAAATCCCCAGGCAAGGCCAGTTCTGCCTAATCCTCACAGTGCAGCAACAAGGTGATACTGGGCAGTGTTAAGACAACACATTTATGTTTAATTTTCAGTTTGATTGTGTGACTCCCACCCAAAATTGTTTATTTTCCACTGTCTTCCCAAGTGTCCGAAAGCTGTCTAAGATTCCTATCAGCTCCTGCAGTTTTTGAGTAACTAAAAAGTACTTTGTGGGAAATTAGAGTAACCCTCACATAAAAAGAGAGTTCTGTGTTCACACCATCAGGGCATTCTGCTCTACACAGATAATGCTCACATGGCTTTCTCCTAAACAGAAATGTACACCTTAAAATACATAAACTTCAGTAATCAGTTTAAACTACACATTTGCCCCCAAAGAACCAGGCTGATGTGCAGTCATTTCATTATCTGTTAAACTGTTAATTTGGTATTTCATTGAGTGTTTCACCCCAGACCTTAATTGACAGACTCTGAGTGGATTCTGTTTTCTGTGCATCAGTGCACAGGAAAAATGGTGAGCAGCTGGGAGAGCATTGTCTGTCATCTGGTTTCCGCTTTGGCCCTAAAATATGCATTCTCTTTCTATTTTCCTTTAACTGGTAGTGGAGTTCTTTGGTGAGAAAAGGGAAATGGGGAGTGTTTTGAGGAAATGGAACGTGAGGTGCTAAGGCTGTTGTAATTGATGTTGGATTTTTTTTATCCATTATTCCAACAGATTTTACTTTTGAGTACGTGCAAAGAGAAGCTCTCAGAGTTCCCCTCATCTTCAGAAATAAGGATGGACTGGGAATTAAGTAAGTTACAACCAAGTCTTGATTAATAAATGCTTTTATAAAATAACCATTATGCTTTCCACTTGTATGTGGTATTTCTTTTGATGATCTCAAAATGCATTGCAATTAGTGAGACTGTCAGCACCCTGGAGAAGAGGAATGATTATTTTCCGCTTATAAACAAGCAGATAATGAGGCCCCTAAAAGTTAAGTGCAGACGGTGTGGTACTACACAATCAAAACCAACTCACTGATGAAAGTTAGGAACAGAATTCAAAGGTTCCTGTATCAAATCCAGGCTGGAATGACACAAGAGCCTGTCTTCAATTTTTGACTTCTCAATTGTTTTGTGTGTTACAGGTGGAATGTCTAATGGTGCCTGTCGCTTTCCATGATAATTGCTCTCTTCAGAATCTTACAGCTTTGTAAATATTCAATTATGTCTGGTTAAAACGTGGCATTATTAGAATCTTTTTGAGGTTGTGTTTTGTTAATATCCAGTCATAAAGGAGTTGGTATTTTAATAAGAGAATCCTGCAGGTTTCTTTGTAGAAGTGACCGTGTCTAAGGGCGAAATATTACAATGATACACTATCAGCCACACAATCCACAGTTTAGATAAATGGTCCTTGATGGCT